ACCCAACGTGTCAGGGAGAGGACTGTCCAGGCGGTTGTCCTGCAGCCACAAGTACTGCAGCGCTTTCAGCCCGCTCCACGCAGCAGGCACGGGACCCGTCAGCGCGTTGCCATGCAGGTACAGCGTCGTCAGCCGCGTCAGGCCACCCCAGCTCGAGGGCAGCGTGCCTGTGACCTTCTTGCCCATCCCCTTTATGGAGATCTTGACGAACATCACGAGGGAGCCGTCAACACCCTCGGGCAACTCGGGCAAGACCAGCGATCCGCTGAACGCCGGTGAGTCGGCGTCCGCGAAGTTGAGGGCGTGCCCAGAATCGGCGCAAATCACGTACGGCCACTTGCAGAAGTCCGTGCCCGTCCACACGCTTACAAGAGACGGGTTGGACAATGCAAAGCCCTGCAGGAACTGGAGCGTGTTATCTCCGGCCGACAGCGCGGCTGCGTTCGCCAAAGCGGGGGAAGCGTTCACAAGGGAGGCGTCCACCACGCACAGCGCCAGCAGCGCCGCGGCCACCATCATGCGGCGCAGCGGGTAGTTGAACCACGCCATGTGTTGCAGTCAGAGAGGGGCAGAGGGGAAGAGAGGCCGGAGAGCGAGCAGCGGCGGGGCAGCCGAAGAGCGTTGGACAGAAGCGAGGAGGTCGGTGCCGGCACGTGAGGCGTGCGTTCGTACAGTGCGTCAGAGAGACCTCAGTGAAGTTGGAATGTGGGCTTGCCGAAATAGGAAGAAGGCGGGGGAACTAAACAGCTTCAAAAAGGATTACGGTTAGAGAAAGAGTTACAGTTGTGCGGTTTGCAATTACTGTGGCGCAGTACGGGAAGAATGGGGAGGGGGGAAGAGCAGGGGAGGAGCAGTGATCGAAGCAGCCGGAGAGAAGGGCTGGCGTGTGCGCAGCAGGCCGCAGGTACGCACCTCACACACACACACACAGGAGGCCAGCAGCTCCGCGCACACCAGCAGCCGGTCGTCGGAGGCGCAGCGTCTATCCTGCAAGCCGTTCCTTTAGGCGTCAAACACATAGGGCTTACACGCGGCGCCTGTGCGTTGGGGGAATAACCGCGTCCGCACACCAGCGTTCTAAGAAAAGTAGAGTTCAGTCGACTCAATTCAGAGAGCGCACGCAGAAGCCGCGCGGCGCGTGCAAGTTAAACTCTTAAAGTCAGGAAAAACTCTAGTCCACTACTCTCAGATCAGGAAGGAAGGAAGAAGAAAGGAGAAAGGAGAAAGATCAATAAAGTGCAAAACAGTGTCGTTACATCCCTGTATTGTTTTCATTTTCCTTGAAGGGTAGACGGCGTTATTTTCTTTTCATATTTATTTTTGAACCAATTAGAACTTTACGAAAGGGAGTTTCTTGCAGACTCAGATCGTCTGCATTTCCACCTCGTGGGGTTGGAAAAGGGGCGGGACGGTGGGAAAAAAGAAAACAGCCTTTCCTGGAGAGAGGTCGACTGGAGAGGAGAGAAGAGAAAGGGATAGTAGTACAACATGAAGCTTTCGATTCATCTCCCGGCGATTTTTTCCTGGCGCAAGCTCTCAGAAAAGCATGTTTTTGAAACAAGAAATCAAAGAAAAAGAGAAACCGTTTTAGACATAAAAAACAGTCACTGCGCATCCACACCGACGCAGGGTGCTCCGCATCCATCGCAACGAATGTCTTGGGTTGCTCGAGGGCCCGTAGCATCGCGTCGAGCACCACACGCACAATACAAGTGGAAGGGAAAAAGAGGAAAGACGTATTTTCGATTCATCGCTTACCATGCACACCGCGCGGCCTACGCTGCGACGCTGTGGACGTCAGACTTGCGGCACAGCACCTCTACAGCGTTCGCCCCGCAGACGCTGAGATACATCATCTGCACAGAGAGCAGCACGCCCAGCACCGCTGCATTAGTCAGGGAGAGGGGTGCGGCTCGCGGCAGTGAGGCACAACAACGAGAGCGGAGGCGGACGCACGAAGCGAGTGCACATTGGCTCCATGCACGCTGCGCAGCAGCTCACCTCACGTGCTCCTTGCCGTTCCGCTCAAGGACGCGCTCCGCAGCGCCTCTCCACACAGGCAGCGGAGTCGCGGGGAACGGGACAATCACAAACAGCGCAAGGGCGAGTGAGGCGGCACGCGGTGCGGAGGGAAGTGAGACGAAAAGACAGGAATGAAAACATCAGCTGAGGTGCGAGCAGTGCGAGTGTGCGCGTGTGTGTGTGCGCCTCGCAGACAGGGATGGCGATGCAAGATTCAATACCAGAGCGAAGGGTGATCGGCACGACACAACAACATCATCGTGGTACACTCGCCACCGGTGCTGGCGGACACCGGCGGAAAGGGGCAGTTCGTAAAGGCAGTCCCTCCCACGTGCGGCGTCTACGTTTGACCGTCTGACTTACCGGAAGGCACGAATGCCGCGCGGTTCACTCGCGTCTCCACACGCCCCTACTCGAGTGAACAGCGCTTGGAATCAGTGAGCACGCCATCCCTCCGCGCTGCCAGCTTGTCGAAAGAACCGCACCCCACCGCGCAGAGGCACACCTCGTGCCTCCATTACAAAACCACAGGACCACGCATGCACACACACACAACACACAGCACACTCTATTGCGCGAGCGAGCCGCAGCCCTTCGAGGTTCATACATGTGAAACGAAACGGCCCACCCCTTTGCCGTTGCAACTGTGCCTCACGTCACCATCCGCTGGGGCTCCTCGACGTCAGCGGGGAAAGGGCTCTCCGCGGTTGCGCAGGCAAAGGTGACAAAAGGCCGCAGAACGAATGAAAAATAAGTTACTTCATGGTTAGCGAAAAGAGTAGTATATTTGAAAACCAAATCTCAGAAAGAGAACATCTCGGTCAACCATCTACATCGTCTTCCGCCGCAATCCACAGAGCGGCCACGTCAGCTAGACCAGGTTCCACAACACAGATGTGCATAGCAGGGCCAGCATTAGCCATCCATTTCGGTCGCTCACGCTCTGCCGGCACGCACCGTCACTGATAGAGGCACATTCAAAGTCATCCGTCAGCATGTAGCCGCGCGTACATTGCATGCACTTCGTGCCGTTGCCCGCATCGCATTTGAAACAATGCAGCACTGTGCAGTGAAATGAGCTGTGGCTGCTGCTTGCCGAGCTCGGTGACGGACTGCTGTGGCTGGAAGAGTGGGGACCAGCACCGCTGCTCGACGCCTTGTCGCACGCGTTCGTCGTTGCACAGGTCTCCGCGCTCACCGCGGGGTCCACGGTCGGCGTCAGCTTACCAGCCCACTCCGGCGGCACGCAGCCGCAGAAGTGGTTGCCTTGCAGCAGCAGGCCGTTCTTCACCCTAGTCAACTTGCTCCACTCCGCCGGTAGCGTGCCCGACAGGCTGTTGTTGTTCAGCTTCAGCTGCATCAGCTTAGACAGAGAGCTCCACACCGCCGGCAGCGTGCCCGACAGTTTGTTGTTGCCCAGCCACAGGATCTTCAGTGATGCCATGCCGCTCCACTCCACCGGCAGCTGTCCTGTCAACGCGTTCCCTGACAGTGAAATCCGCTGCATCTGCGTTAACCGTCCCCAGCTCGGCGGCAGCGTCCCCGACAACATGGCGCCGATGTCATTCGCCTCGAACCCCGTCACCGTCACGAGTGCGCCGTTCACGTCGTCGGCGAGATCCGGCAGGCTCGACGCGTGTGCCAGCTTCAACCCCGTCAGCTTCACCTTCGTCGCTACGCCTCTCACACATTGCACGAAGTCCCAACCGACGCAGTAGTCTGTACCCTTCTTATAGAACTTCAGGTCCGGCACCGCCGTCACGAGGGCCTGCAGGAACTTCATTGTTTCCGACTCCGGCGTGGGTGCAGACACATCGCCGTCCGTGGCGGTGGCCGGGTGCGGGCCGAGAGCACAGCACAGGAGAAGAGCGCCGATGGCGAGTGCCTTCCACGGCTGCCAGGCGCACCAAAAACGGTTCAGGCCGCTGTCCGGTTGGCCGGCTCGGCGAGCGGAAACGGAGGGCGGGAAATCGACGCTTAAGGCGACGTGAAAGGAGAAGTAAAAGCGGAGCGCAGCGCACAGTTAACTGAGGGAGTCTCCTTCGCCCGCCTTCAGCTCACAAAACAGGTGGAACACGTGGGTGCTTTACACGGCGGAACAGCGCTGGGGTGCGGATCGGGTCTCGGCGAGAAATAGCAAGGGGGCTCAAACGGCGTGCGCGTTAGCAACGAATGGAAAATAGAGATACTTCAGCGCTAGTAAAAGAGAAGGATAGCAATGAGAGAGGGGTAGCGTGGATGTCTGCGCAGCCGCCAAATGGGACAGGAGTGCGGAGTGGCAGCCGTTGGTGTGTTTTAGAGCCATCCACAAGAAGCGCAGCGTGATGGAAGAAGGGCGTCGACAGTGGAGTGGAAGGGATTTCACAGAGGAGCGCAGGGCAGCAGCGCTCACGTGTAATGGGCACGCACTCGTCAAGCACGCGAAGGCGCGACCCGTACGTGCGAGTGAGAGAAAACGGAGGCACCCTACAGAAAAAAGGTCCGCTCTCAGCGTTGCACACAGCAGCGGCGGTGGCATTTACGCCTTTCATCGGTGCCGCGATGCGCACACGGCCCGGCTGCCGCCTTTCAGCGAGTTTGGCACCTCGCAATCCACAGGAGGGGGACACGCCCGGGCAGAGCAGACAGTCGGCCCCGCAGGAAGTCCGGCTTTCACGCCATCGTATTCCGCAGAGCATTTGCATCTGAGCAGAGAAAAGAGAGCAGAAGGAAAAAGGCGGCTGCACGGCAGCACCGCGAACGTAGACGCCGCTGCTACCAACACTCGCCGCCGCTCTAAGGCGAAACCTTGGCCCACCACCTCCAACCGTCACCGGCGGAGCTGCACCACGCGTAGCCGCGGCGGCGCTACTTCGGCGGCCTCGTCCCCGCGGTGCCTGTGGCCCGCGTCACCTTGACACGCGTCAGGAAAACAAGCAGCCAGAGGAGCACCGGCGGTATCGGCCACAGGTGCAGGCCCACAGGCTCCCACGGCTGCCTCACGTGCAACACGCGAGCTCTGGCGGGAACGGCACTGGATCATCGCGACCAGAAACCGGGCCAATACAACGCCAGGGCCAGCTCCAACGACGGACCCAGGGCGGAGAGCGCAATTCGTGCGTAGTGCCGCACACCAACGGGTGTCTCGGAGTCTCCTCGCACCGCAGCCGGCTCCATATCTCAAAGTCAGAAGGATGACCAATGCCACGCTCAGCTGCTTGGCGACACTTCAGTCCTTCAGGCTCGATAAAGGCAGCGGGGCATAGGGGGCAGCGGTGACCCATCGGACGGGCGAGAACAGACTGCGGCCGACCACCCGCGACGGGGACAGCTAGTCTCGCGACAACGGCATGGTGCGTGCAGGCGTGGCAGAGGATGCCGGGAATAGTAAAGAGAGCGTAGTGGCAGGCTGCACACACTTGGACACGGGGACCCGTTGTGCGACGAGTGTGCGGCGGCGTGCCCGTCTTGACGGCTGCGGGAGGGGCGACGGCTGCAGCGGCGGTGCGGCCACCCGCGTGCGTCGTTCGACGGTGGCGTTGCGCGTGCGTGGCAGCGGTCCGGCGGTGGCAGGTGGGGCACTCGGGCTCCACGACTACGCAAACTCGCCTCACGGGCGGGGGAGTGTCGAGCCGCAGCGGGCCGTGACCGAGCATGCGTTGCTGGGAGAACGTCAGTGTGCTCGCAGTAAGGAAGGTGCACAGAGGACAGCGGTGGAATAAGCCAGGCGGCGACGCGTGGAGCGCCCGAGCAAGCTGCCAGCTCAGCTCCGCCGGGGCAGAGATCCCGTGGTCGCGTACGAGACGGCGAATGAGATGCGGTCGGCGCACGCAACACTCGCAGCAGACGGGGCACGGGACTGGGTCGGAAGCTGCCTCCGCAAAGTAAGCGCACGGCGGCGGTTCAGGCGGAAGCCCCGGCAGCGGAGGGGCAGGTTCGCTCCCGCACGAGGGGCACACCTTCACGGGATTAAAGAGAGCTGCTCGGCCCAGCTGCCGCTGCTCTTCTGGGAGGGTGGACGTGTAGGCCTGAATGGTGCCCTTAACACGTGGGCTGTCGGTGCCGAGGTGAGCGCCTCGCCGTGCCCGCCTGTAGGCGTTCGGCTTCACCCGCCCCAGAAAACGGCTGCTGTCTTGGACACGTTGCATTACGCCCCGAACGTTCCCACTTGGCATCTAAACAATCAACTACAAGAGAGGTGAATTGGGTCTACGCGCCGTATGCGCCACGGTGGGCGTGAGGAGTGGTCGAAAGGACGATGAGAGATAGTTATAAAGGACAAGAACAAAGGTGCAGGAGCTAAAACAAAAGGACATGAAAAGCAGCGAGGTCGATGCAATAAAAAGAAATTGTGAAGGTCAGGCGTGTTTGGCGGTGAAGCAAGAAGCCTCTTCTCTTCCAGCGTACTAAACTCAAGTTGCCTGCTCCGGTAATTAAGCAGCCGGGAAGTGACCGAGGAATGTGTGCATTTTCCTCGCCTGAAGAGCACCTCCCTCACCTGTATCGACGTCAGGAGCCCGTTCTTGCATGTTGGTCTCTTTTCTTTCGCTGAGCTGATGTAGCGTCACACTAACACAAAATACACGAAATCGTACCGAATCTCGGTTCGCACGCACGGGGCTGCAATGAGGATTCAAGAAGAAAGGGTTAGAGGGACGGCCACACAAATCGAGAAACAAAAACAGAAGCGATGATACCGCACTTTTCCGAGATGACACAGTTTTCAGTTTACCTTTTTCCCCCGTGTGCGGTTGTGCGCCATTCGAGCAAAGAGACCCGACCGCCCCCAGCTCAGGGGTCACGTCGCCCTTAAGAGATGTCGCCATTTTCCTTTGATCTCTCGTTGGTACACTGTTGCAGAAAAGAAGGAAAACAAAACGTCTAGGCAACGAGGAACCATCAACGCCGATTCGCATTGACATTTGAAAAAAAAAAAACAAAGACAGTCGAGAAGGGAGAGAAACTTATTTTTTTGTAGCATTAAAGAAAAAGGAAATCTGTTTAGCCTCGCATGACAGTCACGATTCCTTCTCTCCTAACGGCAAAAACCGCTTCAATAGATTATCGAAAGAGAACAGTCGGATGAAGTCGCTGCCGCAGAGAGAACGACCATAACGCACGCGTTATACTGTGCACAAACTAGAAGTAGAAAAAAGACTGTTTAGTATGAGAGAGGTAGAGTTGTTGATAAAAAGCCCTTTGATCACTTACGGACAATGCTGACTAGGTATTTAAAACATGCGTTGCCGTGCCAGCATCTAGCACGCCTACGTTTTCCGCAAGAGCATTTAAACAAATAAGCCATCATGGACTGTTTGAGAAACAAAGAGACGAGTTTAGTCGTATGTAGCTGTTCACAATCGAGAAGGCGGGAAAGCAACGAAGATTACAGTACCGATTCACTTTGGTACCTTAAAACAGCATCCGTCGATCGGTGCTCCTGTCGAAAAGAAAAAAGAACGACTACAGCCAGTTGCCGACGAGGGCCATCAGGCCCATGCCGATCCACAGAGCCACAAACATGCCGATCTTCTTCCACAGACGGTAGGGCCGGCCATCCGCGCAGTGGTGCTTCAGGTCCGCCACGAAGTCGCCAAGCAGCAGCGTGAAGGCGAGGTACAGCAGAATGCCGCCGCAGAGCGAGTCCAGCACACCCATCAGCGTCACAAAGCCAGTGCCAGTCATCGCATCACGCGACACCGACACCGCGATCGTCGCGGCAGCCATGCCGGCCGGTGCGCTGACGGAGAACACGAGGGCCAGCACAACCTCCAGGCCCGCATGGAAGTCGGCATCCACAAGACGCGACCCCATCGCCATGCCTTCGAACATCTGGTGGAACACAAGCGCCACGATCAGCGGTCTCAGTTCCGCGTCGGTTGTCAGCCCGACTGCCAGGCCCACGAAGACGCTGTGCAACGTCACGCCGAACTCCATGCAGACGGCGGCGATGACCCGGCGGATCGAGTTCATGTCACGCGGCGGCCGCACCGCCAAGTGCTGGTGACCATGAGCGGCGAAGTCGTCGTCTTTCGACTCAGCGCGGTGCTCACTGGCGTGTGCATAGGGGCACGATGGGGCTTCGTTCACGGCAAGGGCAGCTGGACAGTCGTCACGCTTCGGCTTCTCAGCAGGGGTCGAGTCATCGGACACGCCCTTCGCAGGCGCCACCACAGCGTCACACCCGGCCGCATCCACGTCCGGCGCATCGCCAGTCAGCCCCGCATCCAACTCAACGAAGTTGCCGTCCCGCTCCTGCGGTTGCTGCGGCGGTTGCTCTGCGGCGTCGCCTTCATCCGCCAGCGCACTCGCCTCCTCAGCAGCGGCGGCGGCGTCCGCAGTCGACTGCGCCTTCAGCCAGCGCTCCGCAATCTCGCCAAGCTGGATGTCCAGCAGCTGCATCAGCAGAACGGCAACGAGGGCAAACAGGAAGTACGCAGGCTTGTACAGCTTCAACGTCTCGTCCATGCACTCTTCCCTGAACGCCATCGCACCCTCGTGGATCAGGTGGATCGTCGACACGGAGAGCAGCACGCCGGTGGCGGCCGTCTTCGCAATAACAAAGACGAAGGGGTAGCGGCTCAGGACAGGGAAGAACTTGCCGGCGATCGGGATCGCAGTGCCCAGGAAGGACACACCCAGGATCAGGAAGATCGCCCCGATGTGGAGCCCGTTGGAGTAGACGCCGACCAAACCATCACACAGAGAGTGTTCCGTGGGATCCTGAACTCCCAGCGGCACCACGTGACGCGTGTCCGGGCCCTGCACGCTGTATCCGCGGTCTGCGAGGTACCGCCGGCAGCCTTCGACGCTGAACTCCTCGCCACGCATCGCGGCCGTACTTCGGGAGGAGGTGGGTGTAAGGAAAGGGATTGAGAGCGTTAAACAGAGAAGAAGCCAAATCTACGCTACGGCGGCTGGTAGACGATGGCGTGCGCTCGCTTTTCTAGGAATCAAAACCAAAAGGGCCAGTAGCTCGTGAAAGCTGTGCGACAACGAAAAACAAAACCAGAGCACAGAAAGGCGAAGGTCAAGGGGAGAATGCTGCGAGGAAGGATGCAGCGAAGAGAGGAACCAACGTGAGCTGGAATGGGCAGCGGCGTGTAGTTCTCTTTGCCGTGCATTGTGGCTCCTGCTGCTGCTGCTCACCGCGGCAATGAAAGGTGCAACGGACACTGCGCACCGCGTAGGCGCAAAGCTAGCTGAACACGGTTTTTTAAGTCTCGATATACCTATTTCCTATTTCCATGCGCATATACCAAAAAAAGAAGAAGAGGTGCACAGCAACGAGTGTGCTGAAAACGTGCCGTCTACCACACTGGCGGACGCGTAGTCCACGCTCATGACACACGGCGGGCGAGAGATCTCCCCAGAGCAGCCGCTGTTTGCTCGTACGTTGCGGAAACCGGTGCGACTGCGGTGCAGGCAGCAGCGAGAACCCTCGCCAAACCGCAGAAGTGGAGGTACGTTTCAACCGACGGATCTGCGGCATCGCCAGGCGACGGAAGTGCAAAGAAGCTTCGTTATTCTTTCTGTAGTTAACCGGCAGTTGAGACCTGAAGAAGAACAAAGGAGAATAAACCTGGTGCGCATGCAGAGACGGCCAACAAAGAGGGGAGGCGGAGGAGAGACGCATTCAAAAAATAAACACTACTTTGGCCAAGCAACCGATCGCAGTGGATGTGTTGAGTGCGAAAGGTATAGAAAGTAATAGGAAAAGCGGAAGCTACACATCTGTTTTCGTTGCACTGAACTGCTATTGCCAACACGAATTTGATAGTTTCTTAGTACGTAAAAGGAAAGAAAAGATAATCGCGTGCTCTCGCTTCCGCGTACGTTCGTTGAAGGGGAACTGGAGAAAAGGAACACTGTTATTTCTCATTAATATCGTTCTTCTCAATAGACATGAGGGAAAAAATAGAAATCACGTCAATAAAGAGGGAGATCACAAAACGGCAAAGAGAAGAGCTCCATGCGTATCACACAACGGCGGGATGCTTTTACGAGAGAGGGAAAAAAAAACTTAGACAGCTTTACCAAACACAATAAAGAAAGAAATCATTAAAACAGCATTTATTTGAACGCTGTGATCTACAAGAACACTAAGGAGAGGAATTGTAAACCATAACAGTACTAAAACCAGAAGAGAGAGATAACACCGAGGCCATTTGTTTCAAGGCTATTAATCATTTATACATCACGATTAAAGAGATAGGGGAATTTTGAATGTATTTAGTTATAACAGCAGTCAGCATACATTTTGCATATATTTGTTTCGCCAGGGGCGACGAGGAGCTGCGTCACGGTGCAAAACATCGTGCTTTCTGTGTGAGAAACACGCTCTCCGTAATAGCCTTCGCGACAGCAGAACGGAAGCCATTCGCATATTCGCCAGCTCTGTTTTCATACTGCTCACTCACCGCATGACGGAGGGATGACTACAGCCAGTTGCCGACGAGGGCCATCAGGCCCATGCCGATCCACAGAGCCACAAACATGCCGATCTTCTTCCACAGACGGTAGGGCCGGCCATCCGCGCAGTGGTGCTTCAGGTCCGCCACGAAGTCGCCAAGCAGCAGCGTGAAGGCGAGGTACAGCAGAATGCCGCCGCAGAGCGAGTCCAGCACACCCATCAGCGTCACAAAGCCAGTGCCAGTCATCGCATCACGCGACACCGACACCGCGATCGTCGCGGCAGCCATGCCGGCCGGTGCGCTGACGGAGAACACGAGGGCCAGCACAACCTCCAGGCCCGCATGGAAGTCGGCATCCACAAGACGCGACCCCATCGCCATGCCTTCGAACATCTGGTGGAACACAAGCGCCACGATCAGCGGTCTCAGTTCCGCGTCGGTTGTCAGCCCGACTGCCAGGCCCACGAAGACGCTGTGCAACGTCACGCCGAACTCCATGCAGACGGCGGCGATGACCCGGCGGATCGAGTTCATGTCACGCGGCGGCCGCACCGCCAAGTGCTGGTGACCATGAGCGGCGAAGTCGTCGTCTTTCGACTCAGCGCGGTGCTCACTGGCGTGTGCATAGGGGCACGATGGGGCTTCGTTCACGGCAAGGGCAGCTGGACAGTCGTCACGCTTCGGCTTCTCAGCAGGGGTCGAGTCATCGGACACGCCCTTCGCAGGCGCCACCACAGCGTCACACCCGGCCGCATCCACGTCCGGCGCATCGCCAGTCAGCCCCGCATCCAACTCA